CCGCACTCACTTTGCCGCCGCTTAGTCTCGCTTACGGTCACGCAGTTTTTTCGGTCGCTCGATACGCCTTTATCGAGGGCCTTGTCTCACGCAAGTTATCGTCGATCCGCCGTCGCGGATTCGATAAATCGCGAACTTCCTCTTCAGTCGAAGAGTTAATTCGTCAAAATTAATTCCTAATACTCCGGGTTGTAAATAGTTATACTTTATTGTTCAATAAACGTGTTAGTCTTAAACGTTACATCTTCCGTTTTTGTTCTTCGGACTCGTGCTCACGATGCTTCCCACTTTGCGCTCCCCGCGGTAAGTCCGCTCGCGAACAACTATTATAAAATTTTTTTCATAATGTACCATGTATAAAGCACAAAAGAAGATACGTATCATGTTTTAGAAACCGTTTCTTTTTACGACTTAAAACTCAAGCTAAGGTCGCTAATATAAACAAACATCGCGAGACTTATACACGTCCATACCGATATCAGTTTTTTGTGTTGCTATAGTGTCAAGCGTATTGAATATCTTGATCGAGAGAGATCCGATAGCTCACATTGTCAATTGGCTAATTTAATATAAAAATTCTTAATTACACAGTGAATAAATTGTAGACACCGGTCAATGGATGTGTGCTATCGAGATGTGTGTTAACGAGACCTTCTCCCTCGATCGGATAAAGAAGCGATGCCTGCATTACGCATATACGTTATACTATACATGTATTTATGTTTCTTTTTCCTCATATAAAGACAGTGAATAATTAACAGAAAAGTTATACATACCTTCCAATATTTTTATGATATCTGATTCCACAGAATCTTTCATCCCCCACGAACAAATAATGGAATAATGTTTGCCATTTCTGCACACTTGACACAATTTATCAATTCACACAGCTTTTAACACAGATTTACACAGATCAATAATAAAGAAACGTCTTCCTCTTGCGACAAATACCCTTGAACTGTAGGGTTTGTAGAATCTGCCTGCAACACGCACGCACAAGTACGAAGCACCGTCGTGTCCATGCGAGTTCGGCGTTTCGACTGAGTTCGGCTATCGAAGAGGAGCAGACTGTCTTTTGTTTCGCAGTTACTAAGGCTTTTACTTACTATCAATATTGTTTTACGTCAACTATTTAATATGTTTCCTTTAACTAAACGAAACCGCAGTTCAACCATTTAAATTTTGTTAAATTTTGACACTGCGCAAGCGAACTATATTTGTATGTTCAATGCAGACTACCAAAAAATTAAGAATCCTTGCCACGTAACATTAACGTACGCTTGCGCAGTAAATCAAAATTGAACAAAATTCAAATAGTTGAACTGCAGTTTCATTTAGTTAAAAGAAATATATCAAATAATTAACGTAATACGAAAAAGATGTGACATTTAATCATGTCTTTTAGTTGTTAATAAAAGAAAATAATATTTATTTTTAACTAAATCAATCATGAATCAACTGAGATTTATTTAGACTAGAAATTTTAACAAACAGTTAATTTATTCGATTTTTGATGGCGCTTGGTTTATCCATCAAAAAATTTTTGAAAATGTACAAAATATTTTTGTTACTTTAAAAATTGAAATTAATGAAATCTGCTGTTTATTTCAATAAAAATTTATCGTATTTAACTCAACCGTTCAATTAAAAATACATACTATTTATTAAGCCCATCAGCATCGTTTAGTCAAAGTGATACTTGAAATTTAAACAAATATATTACTTGGATAACTAAATAGCATGCAAATACAAATAAATACTACTAGTATTTCGAACAAAATAATTTAATTGAGTTAGTTTAGTTAATTCTTGATCAAAAAATTTTAGATAGTTGGCATGAATGAACAATACCTTTCTTTGTGCAACTAAAGAACTGTTGAATCAATCATTGGCTCAAACAACTATACAAATTTAGTTAGTTCAATCAATTTTTTTTCTCAGTGTACCCGGCTGTCACGTGTCGATCGCGTGTGCAGGCTCCCCACCTCCGATGGCGTGGTGGGGTCGGATTTCCGTTATCGCTCGGTCACCCGCCGGAGATGCTCGAGCGATGGGAGGCCGGTTCGCGCACGTGGGAGCGAAATGTGTTTCGTTACATATTTTTCGAATAATTTAAAATATTAAAAGTCATTAAGCAGTACTTTTTCCCATTGCCACGGAACTGCACCATCTGTTTCAAAGTACATAGCAAATTGATCTCTTATATGTATTACATTTTCACAAAAAGGAGAATTTATTTCATCTGTGATATCTTGAAAACCTTCAGATGCAACCTGATAATTGGCCGATTGTAAAGTTGAATAAAACCGATCTTCACCTTCGCAATTAATTATAAAGTTGTGTAAGCAACATGTTGTTTGCACAATTTTTTCAGTTAATGTAAGAGATGCTACAATTGGTTTTTTATAAATTCTCCATCTTGTCACTAATATTCCAAATGTACTTTCTATAACGCGCCTTGCTCGACTCAATCTATAGTTAAATACTTTTTTCCTTTTAGATTAAGACTTTGACTTCGAGAATATGGTCGCATCATATAACTTTTCAAAGAAAAAGCTTCATCTGCCACAATCACATATGGCAAAATGAGACCATTGGCTCTAACTACTGTTGGAGATGGTATTTACCCAAACAGCACAGTACGTCCTCAGGATCATCCTAAATATGTCTCAAGACGTCCTAGGACATTTTGAAGATATTCATATATCCAGGAGATGTCCTCGGGACGTCCTTCCCTTACGAAAAAGACGCACGGGCTAGGGATTGTAATTCATGTAGTTATTGTAATCCCTCACGAAAATATTACATTCGACGGACCACACGCGTGTATAGTTATTGTAATACAAATATTACGGCGGCCAACTTATTACAGTAGCGACACATATTATAAGACGGTACTACAATTTAGTTATTACACAGATCGGAACATACACACGTGTGGTTACTACAGTATGTGTAATATTATAAAAAAGTTACAATATAATACATACTCTAATTCATATATATACATATAAATATGTATTAAGTGTGTGATATATAA